TATATATATATATATATATATATATATATATATATATATATATATATATATATCGACCCTTATTCCAATAAAAATATTCTTTAAATTTAAAGCAATAATTCATTGAAGGAGAGAAGCAAGGGGATAGACGGTTGGGTGTTTGCGCATGCGCATTATACATCTCCTTGAAACGATTTTACATAGCGTGTTCTAGTGCGTACATCGTAAATATAAATTAACGTTCTATTCTGACTTCGTATGTTCCCGGGTAATCTCAATTAAGTGCTCAACGCGTACGTAATACAAGAAGGTAAGTAACCTTCATTTCTCTTTAGCATAAGTAGCAATATAGAATTTAATTGATCTATGTTCTCTCGTAACCTCTTCTCTTTAAAGCTCTTTATCTGAAGTGAGTTAAATTCACTTGACCACGTTACAATTGACCACAGACCACATTAATTACGATGATAATATCCCGATTGATTACTCGAGTGGGACTATGGTCAATTGAAACATGGGCAAATGAAACAAGTACAAGATGTAATAATCTATAAAAAAATGTAGGAAGAAAAAAGAAACTATGAACACACTGTCTTGTAATACATATTGTTACTTTAATGAACTCTTAATTTTGTTCCATTCACATTTTTAAATAACTATGTCTGTTTAAAGTATATAAAGTGTAAAGAATACATGTGATAAAAACATTATCTAAGATTAAACTATATATCTAAGTATAAACTATATATTTTGTCCATAGATCTACCATTCTCTCATCATTCTCTATTGTTACTAATCATTTGGACTTTATCATTATATAACTGAAGCCATTATATAACTCCAGTTCCAAAAAGATGACGCATTCAAGGTCCACGAGTGATACTCACGATGTACAGAACATATCTACACCTGTAGGTTTACAACTATCTGGAAAATACAAAAAGTAAGTATAATAAGTATGCTATACTATAATATTTGGTCTTTTTGTTTCCATTGTTATTAATTTGTTGACTTTGGAAACAAGAAAATAAATAAATTTGTTATTTATGTTACAGAAGTTTCGCTTATGTTACAATCAAGGATAGATTGCCAGTGATATTAACAAGAGTCATCGATCACTTTAGTCGTAATAAAGAAGCTATAAAAAACATTTATGGCGAGGTAATCTCATAAGTATTATATCATGACATTATGGGTAATCAAGGAGATTTGTACGGTTTCCAACACAACAAGTGAGAAGTACTAGCAAAATACTTAGAATACTTATAAAATTGAAATGCATTCATTAAATAATCTCAATATAATTTCAATATAATTTATAAACTGTATATGTTGTTATTACATATTACAACATAATTCTTGCAAATATCTATCTGACAAAATCACATAAAAACGTAAACTAATCATACAGTAGGTCAAGTAAATCTCCATACAGTATGATTAGAAATTTTGAAGCTTTATAAGTTTAAGAGAATAGCAATGATATTTATTTGCATTATTTAAACTTGTTTATATCTAATTATAAATTGTACAAATATACAATTTAAGTAATATACAATTTAATGTATTACATAAAATATAATACGTCTAGTTATAAATTATATAGTTATAATTTTACTAATAGTTCATAAATTAATGTTCAAGATACAAAGAAATCAGATACAAAATCAAAGAAATTGTCTATCTACAGTATGAATATAAGAAAAATAATATATGAAAACGAACATCAAATAGTACATAGCACAGCATTATGTTAGTATTGTATTAGCAAATAGATAATTATTAAAACTAAAATTTCTCAAAACGGAAATTTCAATTTCGACTCGTAAATTAATAAAGTTAAGAAAAGAAGGCTAGTTTGCTTCAAAAAATAGCAAATGCAGTGAAGAAATTACACTCTGTGATTCAGTACATAATAAACATGAATAACTAAACGAAATCTTTCGTAGATCGAAAGCATAACGGCCATCTTAAAAAAACTGGAAACTTATCATAAACATGCAATTTTAAAAACGATCAGAATTGAACCAAGAACAAGTGCTCCAAAACTGGTTAGCATGATTGAAACTAATTATGGTGTAAAAGTTGTACCTGAAATAGTTCTATTACCAGAAAAACGGGATATAAAGGGATATAAAGAAAAATGTGATAAACGGGATATAAATTTAAAGTGCATAAGTATGATTGGAATGGGAAAGTTACAATTTTTTTTTATGTGGAGTGCAATATGAACTACCATATTTATTTGAACATCTTAAAAGATAATTTACATAAGATAATTTACATACAATATGTACAGAAATTAAATCTTGACTCCCTATTTAATTTCTAGCAAAATAACGACTTCAAGCATGCTGCAAAGAAAGTTAAAGTGATTTTTATATAATGTGTTGAAACAGCTTCACACATAATTGCCCGATTTAAATTCAATTAAGCATTTATAAAATTATAATTAGGCAAACGCATTAGAAAATATAAAAAAGGAACAGTTAAATATACATTATTGAAAAGGTGAAAAAAAATTTGAGCTTCTGATGCAAAAACGGGCAAAGAAAATGCTCGAAGGACAAATCATTGTTCTGCACATCATTGATTGAGATCAAAATGCAAAACTTGAACTGTTAAGTTAAATACTTTTATATATATAGATGTTTTTTGTTACTCTGTTCTGTATATATATCTTCAATATTAATTTGAAACTAACTATCAACAAAATAATAACTACCTTTTATGTAATTTATAACTAAACAGACTAATATAAACAATATAAATAAACATTATTACTATCCTTTTAAAATTAAACAGTTTTAGAATTTCTAAGTCATACTGTGCTGGAGACTTATTTGATCAACTGTAAATTTTATATACATATATATTTTTTTTTGTGTGCATGCATAATATATAATAAATGTCCTTTATATATATGTATTAAATTGTAGGATTCCATAGATGAAATCAAATACCTTATAGGATTTGTAAGCAAACTAAAAAATGAATTAGTTACTAACAAAACTTTAAAACCTTTGCGTTTGCATGACTATACGTCCAATGATGAAGCAGATGAATGGAATATATATCTAGAACACAGGATAGATATAGAAGGTGAAATACCCACATGGTTCAATACAATATGGCTATACTGCGAATGCTACATGTACCGCGTATTAGCTCAAGAGATTAGTTTAACGTAAGCCTTGATGTATTGAATATGATATAAATTCATATCAAACAAGCTAAAATATTTTTTTTAACTTAGGGTTAAATTATCACGTTACGACCCGTTTGAGGATGAGAAACAAGCGAATTTTATTGAGTCCATTAGTAGTATAAGCGCCCTTGGTTCTTATGTGAGACATGTTGTATCTACGTACATGATTGATGACACAGAAAAGAAGGAAACGTTTCGAAAATTACTAAACGTGTGTTTATGGGGTAACAGGTGTGTATTGCAACGTTCTCTTTTCTATCCTATATGCAAAATCGATACAAGTAAATTATAACGTATTATTATATTTGTAGATGTGACCTCTCCTTGAGCGCAGGATCTGGAGCTAGCCAGTCTGGGGATCCACTTGAAATATTGGAATCTTTAAAAGAAAATATAATATCAAATGATTGGGAGAATGTGTGGAATGTTTTACATGACACGACCGAAACAGAGTGCGTTACAGTTGATATAGTACTCGATAATGCAGGGTACGAACTTTTCACTGACTTGTGTTTAGCAGCATTTTTGATTCTGAAACAATTTGCAACTAAAGTAAGATTTTACGTCAAGAAATATCCATGGTACGTGAGCGATGCAACGCTGCACGATTTTTATTGGATCTTAGAGCAGATGGGTTATTTGAACTCACATCCGGATCTGCAATTCTTATCTAAAATGTACTTTGATTTTCTGGACGCTGAGTGTTGGAGCTTGGAGGTACACATAAATTTTGTCCTCTAAAATATCACTTGATTATATATTACTTTAAGCTGTTAAATTAAATTTAAATTCTTATTAAACAGGAGGAGCCATATTGGACGAGTCCGTACGATTTTACAAAAATGAAAGAAAAGGACACAAAACTATATGAAAAATTATCTAGCGCTAAATTAGTAATATTTAAAGGTGACTTAAATTATAGGAAACTTTTAGGTGATGTTAATTATGAGCATATTACAACATTTGCAAATGCATTGGGAGATTTTTGTCCTACAAATATTGTGAGTTTGCGCACTGTGAAATCGGATGTTTGTGTTGGATTACAACCCGGTCTCTCTGAATTGTTATTTGAAATGGATGACAGTTGGATGGTTACTGGAAAATATGGTCTTATTCAAGCTAGTATTCTCATGGATAAATCCAACACTTCGAGTGAACTTTCGACATATTCTGAAGAAAACGTAAAAACGTTATAAATTATTATAATCGTTATAACCTACTCTTATATATTATTGTACAAATACAGAAAATAATATAGTACATGTTATATGTACAAAGGATAAAAATGATGATATCCACACAACTTTTGTATTTGTATTCATTGTAAAATAATTTATATTTGTGTAATTTCTCCCGTGCCATAGTGTATATTAACTAAAATATGTTACAGTTTATATATATATATATGTGTGTGTATGTGTGTGTATACACATATATATATATATACATATATATCTATAAATGTACATAAATAAAGTTTAAACTTGCTACCACTACTTGTTCATACTCTTTACTAGCAAACATTAAACTATCTTGTAATATACGGATAGTGTCGCTAATTACCAATTATTTGCAAATTAGATTTTTTTTATAACTACATTCCTAAACGCGATCAATAAAAAGGGGCTGATCTACGGTATAATAATAAAACAAGAGGATAATCTTAAGTATTCATAACTCGTTAGTACATAAACATGATAATTATCTATTTTTTACACGTCTTTATACAATAAATTGGAAGTGATTATGGAATCACAAAGTTAAGATTTCTTGTCTTATTCTCGATATAATTAAACAATGCCGCTTTTACATGATTATTTAAAATTATAACTTATATGTCCTGTAAGTACACTATTGATTGCGTGTATGCCTTAGATTATATAAATTACGAGACGCCTTTATACATCAAGTGTTGTATAATGTAACTTAATTTTATATTCAATTTGTGTTATGAAAGAACGTATATTTCTGTACTTATACATAAATAGCACCAGTTAAAAGAAAACTCAGTATGAAGTAATGAAACTTTCTTATTTTTCTCATTTATTGGATTTCAGTTGGCGATATATTACATATGTATGTGCACATAAAAACTATAAAGCAAGCTCCCATATAAGAGAGTATAATACTATATTTACACAATAATCAAATGTACAAAGTTCAATTTTCTATATATCTATTTTGATTTAAATGATTTGTCATTAATAAAGTTCGACGCTTTGTGTACATATTTTTTAAATATAATTTATCATACATAAAAGTAGAAATAAATTTTAGATTGCATGCACTTATTTGCATTGTGTAAGTGTATAATGATTAGTAGGCCAATCTCTTAAATTGATAAAATCCGATGTGTTAGATACCATCATAATTGGAATTCTTTATTCTTAAATTTTTACGACAAACACTTCCAAATATAAAGATATGTCCCCCTTATTGCAAAACGTCAACTATGAATAATGACATATTTATGGTTACAGTTGAGAATTTGAAAAAGATTTTTTTTTTAATAGATCTCCCACAATAGCGTAAGTTGTAAATATTTATTATTGTTATTATATAAAACAGTATGTGTTCTGTGTTTCATATTTAACCAAGTTGCATATTCAATCTAGTTCTCCATACTTCTTAGCATCATTTCAAAGAAATAGATGTTTTACCAAGTGGCAAGATAGTACTCTCCTATTAGAGAATCTTTAAAATTAAATATGATAGAAACTCGCATATACTTATAAAATTTTTAATAAACTTAGAATAATAACATAATAATTATGACATAGTAAGTATAGATATAGGATATAAGATATAGTGATGATGATGATGATGATGATAATGATGTGTGTGTGTATGTGTGTGAGTGCGTATGCGTGTGTGTGTATATGATAATAATATAATAATTGTAGTTAAATTTCGAATAAATCTAAACTATGATGAGATATGATTGTTCTACAAGTATTTTTAGATAAAATATTTTCATGATATAAAGTTGTAAATCGGTAACATTTAGAAACAATTTATACGTACGATATATGCATATATACCATATAATTCATGTTAATACATAATTAAGTGACTAAGCCATCATCATTAAAATCTCACTATCATTGAATAATAGTAACTCTCTGAATTTTAAATACTAGTTAGAAAGAATTCTTTATCATCTTATATTTTTTTATAGAAGATGTAAATTTAAATAACATTTAATTATTAGGGAAAATATAAAAAATTTATTGTATTATGTAAATTTCATACAAGATTGTATTTCTGAACAAGATTAACCTCAAATATAAAGAAATATATATTGTTTATTTAAATTAAAATAATCTTCAAATATTTTATGTCGTTAAACTTACATCAACAGCAAAATTATATTATCAGAATCTAAATTAAATTTTTCATTTTTTATAAAAGAAAATAAATGTACTTAACCTTTTTTGCATAATGTTTCAGTAATTTATATGTTTAATGATTTCTTTTTTTAATGATTATATTTTTACTCAAATTTTTATAACTGCTATTTTGAAATAAGTTTAACGACAAAATAATATATAAAATAAGAAACAAGTTAGTAAATAGAAATTTATATTGAACAGGAACTTATCGTCGTATAAAGAATTGTAGGTTTTTTACGACATATTATACAGAATGGTCCATTTATCTTTACCATTTAAAATGTTTCTATTTGCTTGTAAAAATACAACAAATTCTTTGAAGACAAAATTATTCAGCTTGAAAGGGTACATAACCATAACATGGGTCCTTTCGAACTAAACAATCTCATATTGTAAAATATATGTAATATCTTACATTTTGCTTCCAATAAAACTTTAATCTGTAGTAACTTATATTTAATTAATCCCAGTCCGCTGCAATGAATAAGTTATTGACAGAATCAAGTTGGAGTACTTCATTGTCACATGGTAATACTATTGGTAGGTTTTTTCTGCATATTAGAAGACATTGCAACAAGATTATGATCTGTATAAAATGAAATAATAATGTATAAAGGTTTGCTTAAAAATTTTATAACATTCAAATAATCATTAGGAATGTGGCACTTTATCTGATGTCACATAAAGTCTTCCATGTGCAAAACTCTATCTATTAGCATCTATCCGCATAATGAATTAAATGTTAATGGTTCTAAAAGTAATTATAAAAATCTCTCTTATAGAGAAATTAGATAATATGTTAACATTAATTAAACTTAAAAGTTAAAAGACTAATCAAGATGATTTAAATGGATACAAATAAAACATAAGTAGACATGTATACATTATATATTAAAAATTAATATTTAAAGGAATATATATATGTACATACATATTCTATGTGATATATTTAGATTATGACTAAGAACATATATTCCAAATTCCATTAACAACAATACCATCCAGCATCCATTTTGAGGCACCCCGCATAGTATCCATTTGTAAATGCAATGGACACCAAGCAAAAAGTAAATATTAGCACGAAATTCCGTACAATGCAATTAATCCTTCTCTCGAGTATGAAATAGTGGCTATTCAGCACACAAAACATACATTCATATTTCCAGACTCTCTTGTTGTTTCATAATAATCGATAATATTTAAATATGAACGATTGTTTCATATATTTGGCTATCAAATGTATTAAATAACAATAATGGAAACAAGTAATTTCCTAAGAAATTCCCTATGGCGGTTGAATACAGATTATTTGGTCTGCATAAATCTTCTTCTATAACAATGATCAAGCGGTACAAAAGCACCGCAATGTCAAGTACATATCGTATCTATCTTGTAGCAACTAAACGACATGCAAAATTCGTGATTTCTCATTATTCACACTAGTTAACCGACATTTATTCCGTATCTGTATAACTTATGAAATGAATGTTACTTGGTGAATGCGGCGAACACAGCCCAAAGTACCGGATTCGCGTTACGTTTAGTGGCTTCCGCCTCGAAATCAAGATCCAATAATGTCCGTACTCTTCTCATAGCCACTTCGTAATCGTCATCCGATAATGGCGCAAATGCATTCTCCAGTACATCAGCAGCGTGAGCTAAAATAACTAACGCTAATGTTCGTCTATCCATTCGACCAGCATCGTTCACCCAACGGCCTAATACAGCTTCTTGAATCTGCAAGAAACAAAAAGCAACAAGGTGTCATTGCTCTACTCATTATAGATTAGCTAAATTATATTATTGACTCATTCTATTTTATATTTTCTTTATAATTTTATAATAACAGTTGTTACTTATGTTCATTATTTTAGAACACTTTTTTATTATTTCTATATTTTTAAATTTTAT